TTTTGTTATACTAATTACTAGATGTAGCAAAAATCATAGGCAATAGTTTGATTAACTGGGCGCAGGAAATGACAAAATTGTTGCACAAACATTCGATCTGCAGAAACGTTGCAGCTTAAGTACATTATTACAATGGTAACAGCTTACATTTCTATACAGAAAAAATCCGACCCTCCACATTATCATCTCTAGCCAAAGCACTAGATCCAGAATCTGAATGTTGCAGTTGATAAGTTGCGGAGACCGCCAATAGCTCAAGTTCAACTATCTCCACTTGTTTTTGCTCATGTTCAAACACTCTCTTAATAGTGTTTGTTATGGTATTCTACATACATGTTTCTTATTTTGGGATAGAAAAAACATTCACCATGGCGGTGTATTTTAAATTCAAGAGTTCAAGATATTATGATTCTCCTCCTATTGCCAACTGGGCTTTCATCCCAGTTAGTATTTTGAAACAAGAAGTGTTTTTGCATCCTCTAGTAACCGACATCTTCGGATATTAAAAGTTTACTAGTTGTCGACGTCTGATTTGGTATATGTTTCAGATAATGAAATTTAAACCAAACAAAACAATGTGACTCATTAAAATGAAATTTGTATTTATTTATTGCAGATTAAAAAGCTTACAAAAATCCTATCATACATTAGTTGTTGTTGGCTTGCTACCATTCTACTCGGAGCATTCAAATAAACTACAATCGTTAAAACAAAATTTGTACGTAGTTTTTGAAAGCTAATGAATCAAAAGCAATTAACTACCAAATCACTCGTGTCACAGCTACATGGAAATAATAGAATTTGATGCAGGCAAGATATTATTTTGTCTCCAAGGGATGGCACGTGGTAGTTGCCAACGAAGAAGGGATGCTTGGCTGCATCAGCAGCAGTAGGCCTCGCTGAAGGGTCCCAAGAACAAAGGGAAGAAATTAGCTTAATGGCTAATTCACTTGCGGAAGGAATCATCGCTGATAGACCAAACTCGTCAGTTTGTGGAAACTGATAGTTCATCTTGTGTGCAAGAAGCAGCCCGTTGCGCCAAGACCCCAAAGTTGGCCTACCAATCATGCTGCAAATCTTGAATATTTGATTCAGCATCACTTCGATCAGGAAATAGAGGCTGAAGCGAGAAAAGCTCTGCCATGATAGCACCCATTGCCCACATATCGACCTTAGGACAATAACGGTCTGACCGAAGCATTACCTCAGGAGCTCGATACCAGAGAGTGGTGACGTAGTCTGTATAAGGAGGAGGTGAATCAATCTCCTTAGCAGAACCTAAATCCCCAATCTTGACAACACCTTCCTTAACCAACACGTTCTCCGGCTTCATATCACGGTGAAAATAGCTAGTTTTGTGCATGTAGGCAAGGCCCTGAAACATCTGATAGCAGATGTTTCTAATTTTGTCCTCTGTGAATCCGGTTTGCCTTTTTGTCTCAATAAGATCATCCAAACTGCTCTGCATATACTCAAACACAAAGTAAGCAGAACTGTATTGGGTAATGACTTCCTTCAACTGGACAATGTTGGGATGGTTGAGTTTGGAAAGGGACTGAACTTCTGGTAGGCTAAGACACTGCTACAACGAATTGCACCTTTGGTTCAGTTTCTTGATTGCAACGAGTTCACCCGTCTGTTTGTAGAGCGCATCAAACACCGTCCCGTAAGCATCACCACCTAGTTTCTTAATCATCTCGAACTTTTCCACGATCGATCTCTAGGAATTGATGGAATTATGAGTACTTGAAGAAGTAAACTAAACCCCTCAACGCCTAAGAAATATGTGACAAAGTTCAGGAAAAAACACCAGTTTTGACAAACTTGGAACGTTTCGATTGGGGAGAGAGAGAGAGAAATAGGCAAGTTGCTAAACTTCTAAATGTGTGGAGGGTTGAAATTTATAAGTTCCTGGATCCTGATCGAATGAGGAAAAGGGGTAAGCAACTCACTAGTCTAATTGGATTGGTACTTGGATTCGTGCAATCCAAGTAACATCACAATTGCAAAAGTCTGATTTCCTGATCTTTTTTAAAATGTGTTATTTACTTGGGGTCAATTGTCAATAGCTTTTGGTAGTCTTGTGATTTCACGTGTTGGCAATTAAAGTAAGGAAAAGGATCCTCGCCGGGTCCTTTTTCTAGGCATCCTAGGATCCTGTGATCGTGACCGTTCATCGTATATCGTACGATCAAAAATCATTTTAAAATTGAAAATTTAAAATTAAATATAAATGGTACCTAACGAAAACTGACCGCATAATGTACGATGAATGGTCACGATCACGGGATCCCTAGGAAAAGGATCCGGCGATGATCATTTTCCTTAAAGTAAAAGCTTATTTTTAGCTATGCTCCCCGAACTCCCTATTAATCTACTTTGCTCTTTCTAATTCAAAAGTTGTTACTTTACTTCCTGAAACTCAAAGTTTGCTCCATTTTGCCCTCGGAACTCGATTTTGATCCCATTTTGCCCCCTAAAACTAGGGATGGGCACTTAGAACCGAAAACTGAAACCGAAACACGAACCAAATCGAACCACATCGGATGGTTTGGTTTTGCGGTTTTGAAACCGAAACGCAACATAGAAAACGATTTGGTTTTGGTTTTGGCTTTTGAAAACGCACCGAAACCAAACCGCACTGCAAATATTAATAAATATTTAATTAAATGTCCATATTAGATTTCATGTTTTAATTGGTTGTTTGTTAGAATCTATACACTTAGTATGGACTCAACCACACTAGAATATCATCATTCCTCGCTTTCTTTCGTTCATTAACTTGAAGGACCTTTGTTATTTTATACCATCACACACACACATATATGTACAAGGGTGGACTAATCTTGTTATCAAGAATCAAACAATGATCTAATAAAGTCCACTCATTTGAAGCATGATATCACATATTCTAGTATGAAAGTTTCGCTCACGTTTAATGAATTCAAATTTATTCATCTTGTTTTATGATAAATAATGTAAGGGACACCCTTTTGTTGCACAAACATGTTTTAACATCACAAATGCATGCAACATGCTAATTGTTTACATAACAAATGTCTTTTTCCTATTGCTATTGGGAAATGCTTATTAATATGTTAAATTGCAAATTGTACATTTTTTCTTAAAAACCAAACCGAAACCGTTTGAAACCGCACCGAACCGAACCAAATGGTTTGATTTCATTTCGGTTTTGGCTTCAAAACCGCACTGAACCGAACTGCAAAAAATTTCGGTTTCAGTTTTGGTTTCACTCAAAACCGCACCAAACCAAACCGTGCCCACCCTTACCTAAAACTTTAAAGTCGTCTATGTAAAACTCAAAATTAGCTCCACATTGCCTTATATCTATTAATTTCTTATATGAGTTTGATTTAGGTGTGCCAAGTAATCAATTTCTTTTTTATTTTTATTTTTCTTCCTTTCTTAATTTTTCCTTTAAAATTAATATTCACTGATTGTTAAATGTTAACGCATAATGGATTTTTTTTGTTTTTTTTTTTTTTTGTAAAAACATAATGAAGATTTATAATCAAATTTACTGCACACATGACATAGTCTTATTGGGTATTAGGTCCAACATATGTTTCAGTAGGCGACCTATAAGTTCCAGGGAAAAGAGAGAGTCCACAAGTCAAAGTGGAATGAATTTTGAGTTTCAGGAAATAAAGTAGTAACTTTTGAGTTACAATAGGCAAAGTGAGATCAAAACGGAGTTTTAGAAGCGTAGCTGAAAATAAGCCAAATTTGTATTTTGTATTTTGTATTTTGTATTTTTTTTGAAAAAGGATCGATATTTATTAAACCAAATAGAAGAGCGGTACAAACATAGGATAATGTGCCAAATTTGTATTTGAACTCCTTAATTTGATGCAATTAACCAAGAGGGTATGAAAATGTGTATTGACATGAAGAAATAGGTAAACAATGCAATCGATAGAAAGTCAGTCAGTACGAATTAGGAAACTTTTGTGTACGTCTAACTTCAATTCCCCCATCTAGACGGAATAAACAAAAGAATTACGAAAGACAAACAAGTAAATCCAGACGTTACCAAAGTAAAAGAAAATTCTTTCAAAAATAATAATGAATTTTATAACACAAAACCAAAGAAATATTAGTCCAAGAAACCAAAGAAATTTTATAGCAATTCCAGTGATAAAATTAAGAGACAGTGTTGGAAGTATCACAAGTTCGGCCATTATGCTAATGATTGTATTGTCAAGAAAACAATAAAACAATTAAAAATTTCAGAAGAAGAAACCCTATTTGGATAATACACATTCCAGTTGACCGACTAATTCTAATTGTTTTGTTCCGAAGCAAAGATATCCACAGGACGGTTCATTCTATTCAGATATTCACAACCAAAATGTAATGGATTCACTTTTAGATAGGTCTTGAAAGAGAAAGGAAGGCTGGAATGCCAACAGGCGTCTCACAAGATAAATTAATTAGAGTTTTAGAATTAAGAAACACAGATTCCAGTAAAAATTCTTCTGAACGAATTGAATCGAGAAAGGAGATTTGTGTGATCGTGTTGGAAGAAAGCTTCTGAAGAGCTCCCTGTCTCACTCCCTAGTGCCTTAATTGTTAAGAAAAGAGCTTGAACTTTTTGTACTGTTTGACTTTTTTTTCGCGAGTATTTTTATTGGCATTTGCTTATCATTTTGTATAGGGCGTTTGTTTGTTCTTGTGCGTATTTCTTATTTTGGAAGAAGAAAATATATACCTTGTTGTACATACAAGTTTGTATACTTATGAGTGCAAGAGATTACGAGGGGCCTTTCATCACAGTTCGAATTTTATCCGGCAACCATCATCTTGGGATATCAAGAGTTTATCAGTAAAAGATGTAATTTTAAAGTGTGTGGTTTTATCTCTCAAGCTATAGTTTGCCAGGACTTTTCATAGAACAACTTACTAGTCGTCAATGTCTGATTTGTCATTTGTTTCGAACAATGAAATTTGAACCAAATAAAAACAATGTGTAGGTATATATTGCACATTAATGAGAGCTTACAAAAATTGTATCAGACATACGTTATTTGTAGTTGGCTTGCTGCCACTTTAATCAAATAAACTACGCTCGCTAAAATAAAATCTGTTGCTTTTGAAAGCTAATGAATCAAATACAGTTAACTACCCACATTACTCGTGTCAAATCTACGCGAAAATAAGAGAATTCGATGCAGGCAGAATGTTGCTCTGTCTCAAAGGGATGGCTCTTGGAATCTTGTAGTTGCCAACGAAGAAAGGATGCCGAAGTGCCTCAGCAGCAGTAGGCCTCGCGGAAGGGTCCCAAGAACAAAGGGAAGAAATCAGCTGGATGGCAGATCTGCTTGCAGAAGGAATCATCGCAGATAGACCAACCCCGCCAATTTTTGGAAACTGATAGTTCAAGTTTTGGGCAAGAAGCTGTCCCTCTGGCCATGACTCCCAGGTGGGACTGCCTATAACACTGCAAATCTTGAACATCTGATCATCAGCACTTTCGCCGGGAAATAGAGGCCGGAATGAAAACAGCTCTGCTATGATGGCGCCCATTGCCCACATATCGACCTTAGGACCATACAAGCCTGACCGAAGCAACACCTCAGGAGCACGATACGGACGAGTGGTGACATAGTCTGTATAGGGAGGAGGTGAATCAATCTGCTTAGCCGAACCCAAATCTGCAATCTTGACTACATGCGCACCATCCTTAACCAACACATTAGCGGGCTTCAAATCACGGTGGAAATAGCCGTTTCTGTGCATATAAGCCAGGCCCTGAAACATCTGAAAGCAGATGCTTCTAACTTCTTCCTCGGTGAATTTGGTTCGCCTTTTCATCATAAGATCAAGCAGACTGCTCTGCATATACTCAAAGACAAGGAATGCAGAATCGTTTTCGAAGATGACATCCTTCAACTGGACAATGTTGGGGTGCCTAAGCTTGGAAAGGGACTGAACTTCCGGTAGGCTTAGGCACTGCTCAAAGGAACTGAATGTCTCCCTCAGATACTTGACTGCAACGACTTCACCCGTCGGTTGGTGCTGCGCCTCAAATACTGTTCCGAAAGAACCACCGCCTAGTTGCTTAGTAATCCAAAACTTGTCCATGATCCGATCGTAACTCGTAAGGAACCGAACCAACCCTCCAACAGTTAATGTAGGACTAAACCCAACCCCTCAACGCCAAAGAACTAGTTGCGATCTCTGGGGAAAAACCCTAGAACGTATGAACACTGATTAGGGTTCCGGATCTCTGAGAACAGAAGACTTGAAAGTTGAGAGCTTGTGAAATAGCGAGAGAGAGAGAGAGAGAGAGAGAGAAGCAAGTTGGTAATTGTGTTTGAGATTCGGGAAATTATGGAAAGTGTGGAAATTAGGGTTCCAATTTGTAGCTTCATTCATTCCATTATCTCCCGATTGAACGAGGGGCAAGCAACTCACTCGGTTTAATTGGATTGCAACTCACGTGGCTTAATTGTATTGGTAATTCGATTCGTGTAACGCAAGCAACCTCACTCTCCCAGTAGCTAGTTGCTACTTCACTCCTCTGCGGAAAAGGAAAGGGCTTTTTCGTAAATTGGTTTTTCTTTGGGCACAAGTATAGGATTTTCTAACGGTCAGGATTTTCTAAAACTCGTTTTTTACATGGATCAATAGCTGTCAACGGATATTATAAAACATTGGCCGTATGAAACCATGGTGTAAAAAATGAAAACGGTTTAAATTTTCGTGAGCCGTAGATGGGCTGGACCCACAAGGATTATCCGCAACGGAAAAGGAGAGACGGAACATAACAAAACCCAACCCCCCTCAGAACTGCTCTATCTCGCTCTCTCGCTCTCTCTCTCTCTGGGGGCGCTCTGAAACTTCCCAAAAGCAAACCCTAGCAGCCTGGCGGTTCGTCATGATTATCGACCTATAAAACTCGCCCTACGGCTTGTAAATCGTTGCTGCTTTCACAAATTGCACGGGGATTCTCTCAGACGGATTCTGATTTTCTCGATTTTGGCGTGTCGGAAGCTTTCTCGGAGTTCGTGCAACCCAATCAATCGGCGATTTCGAAGCGACGATCCGGTCAATCAATCAATCAATCGGCAAATTAATTCAACCGATATCGATTCTTCAACCTAGGGTTTTCTGATTCTCTCAGACTCTTCGTTGAGGATCGGTGCGAACGCTTCGTATCGATAAGCGTAGGCAGAGGGCTTTTTCTGATTTCACGGAGATCTGTGAAATTCGATTCCGATTGCGGCGATCGGCGGAGGAGGATTGGATCGGCGGCGGACGGAGGGTGTAGAAACCTTATTTAATTCCGAGCATCGCCATCTGTTCGACGATCGGTTTCTGAAGGATTCGAATCGAACCAAAAGAGCGGAGATTGGTGCTGTTGACGGCGGCGAAGAAGCTTTGGAAGAGCTGTCAATCTGTCTCCCCCCTTGCGGTGGTTTGGTTGTTCCATCTCAATAGAATAATCGAAGAAAAAAAGGAGCTTGAATTTTTTGTACTGTTTGAATATAGCAGCTTTTTTTCTTGGAGTTGAATATAAGGCCGTATAATTTTTTTGGCCTTCGATTATTTGTTTGTTCTTGTTTGTGGTGTTATACATATTTCATATTTTGGAAAAAAAAAAAGAAAAAAAAATTTACCATGGCGGTGTATTATAAATTTAAGAGTGCAAAAGACTATGATTCTATTCCTATGGACGGCCCGTTCATCGCAGTTGGTATTTTGAAAGAAAAAATATATGAATCCAAGCACTTAGGGCGGGGTACTGATTACGACCTCGTCGTCACCAATGCCCAGACCAATGAAGGTTGGTTCTGATTTAGTTATTATTCCCTTCTGAACATGTTCTAATTAATCACAGATATGAGTCCTCACAGGTGATACGAGAGTTTTTGTGTGTCAGAGTCGAGTGGTAGGATCGTCGTCTGGGGTTTTGGGGATTTCTAAAATTTTGTTTTAGGGTTTTTCTTGATTTAATTAACATTGGGGTCTCTAGTTGCCAGTGTGCCTTGAAATTCAAGATAGTGATTGTGTATGGTGGTTTACTTTTGTCATTGAAAGAGAATTTTGACCACCACATTCTCTATGTTGAATTGACTCGACCTGAGTGGGGACGGGCTATGTGAGGTTGAAATCTGGGTTCTTTAGGAATGGTTAATCTGACCAGAGCTTTCTAGGAACTATGGGTTACGATGTGGGGAATCACATTTTGGTAGCTTTTATCCTTGCTTTCATGGATTAATATCGTTGCAATGTTTTATAGTCTTTATGTTCGGTGTTTTGTAATTTCAGAGTATCTTGATGAAGGGATGTTGATTCCAAAAAATACGTCAGTTTTGATACGCCGCGTACCTGGAAGGCCTCCGATGCCCATTGTTACTGATTCAGAGTACTATCTCAGATCCTTTAACTTCTTGTCTTTAGTTATGTTCTCGCAAAATCCATGATCAATTTTGAGTTGTCAGTATTACTTTGTTCTTGTGTTTAATTAATCTGTGACATGGTAGTCCCTGTTATTGTATCTTCGTTGGCATTAGTGCCATGTACTTCGATAGGGTAATTGTGTTTCTTATGACCCTTAGGGCAGATTTCAAGGGTTTGTTTAGTTAGGCAATTTTTATTTCTTTTGTTGCAGGCAAAAGGTAGAAGATAAGGTGGAGGACACTGAACCAGAAAGGACTAGCTTTCTGGCAGCTGAATCATCTGCCACGAAATATGTAAGTTTTAATATCCGCTAGTCCTCTTTGGTTTTAAGTGGTGTGGTCATGCTTTGCTTGGTGCCATACCTTTTGTTGATCTTGTGTTTATTATGGCTTTGCAGCCTGGTGATCCAGATTGGGATGATTATGGGGATGATTTGTATGAAATTCCTGAAGTGCTGGCTGTGCAGACAAGCTATCAGGCTCCGGATGCGCTGCCAACTGATAAAGCTGATGAAGATAGCAAGATTAAGGCTTTGATCGACACTTCAGCCTTGGAATGGCAACAGTAAGATGCTTTCAGTTTTATTAGTGCACTGCGATATGATAATGATAGGTTTCTGGTCACTAATGTTGGATGATCTTTGTGTTTTTGCAGCCAAGGTCCCGACGGCTTTGGTCCTGGTAGAGGTTTTGGCAGGGGTGGAAGAATGATGAATGGACGTGGTATTGGTGAGTCTCTTTAGATTACATTATTTTTGTTTTACAGTACATATCAATGCTCATCGAATCTGTGTCTCTTTCTCTATCAATTTTACATACTGAAACTGATATCTATTTTCTTTAATTGAGGTCGTGGAGGAGGCGGTTTTGAGAGGAAAACACCTCCACACGGATATATTTGTCATAGGTGTAAGGTGCCTGGTATGATCATTTTCCTTCTTTTTGGAAGATAATGGATGTTTTGTGATAAGTGCTTAGATGAGGAATGTTGTAATATTTGACATTTGTATGTGTGTCCAGGGCATTATATTCAGCACTGCCCTACGAATGGTGATCCAAATTTCGACATTAAAAGAGTTAAGCCACCCACTGGAATTCCTAAGTCCATGCTGATGGCAAACCCAGATGGCTCATATAAATTGCCAAGTGGTGATAAAGCTGTATTGAGGCCAAACGAGTAAGCTAATTTGATTTTGTATATTTTATAGGCTTAGTTTCCAGTTTTTTTATAAAAGAAACTTTTTATAATTGATATGGAAACAGGGCTGCTTTTGAGAAAGAGATTGAAGGTTTACCATCTACACGTTCTGTTGGTGATCTACCGCCTGAGCTACACTGCCCATTGTGCAAAGAAGTGATGAAAGATGCTGTGCTAACGAGCAAGTGTTGCTTTAAAAGCTTTTGTGATAAGTGTAAGTTATGATGTAAATTTAATTGTCTAAATTTTGCAACATCTAAGGGAAGAAATTCAATTTTTCTCTCTTGTGATATTTTTGGTTTACCCTCATCTGGATCACGAGCCCCTTCGACATCTTATTACTTAACTGTATATCCTGAACTCTCGTATCCGTATTGTCTATCATATCAACTTTCTTTGTGCTTACACTGGATCATATGTTAATCAGGTATCCGGAACTACATTATGTCCAGGTCAGTGTGTGTCTGTGGGGCTACAAATACGCTGGCAGACGATCTACTGCCAAATAAGACACTCAGAGATACAATCAATCGCATCTTGGAATCTGGTGGTAACAGTAGTGCTGACAATGCTGGGAGTACATTCCATGTTCAAGGTTTGTTTTTTCAGGGACGTGCCTTCTATTTCTGTTTAGACTTGAACATTGTTGTTATTAGATCATGATTTGTAATATTTAGATATGGAGTCTGCTCCCTGTCCACAACCCAAGATTCCTTCCCCCACTGTATCTGCTGCATCAAAAGGAGAAGAAAAACATTTACCTTTGAATGAAGAACCTCCAAAGATCCAGGAAACTGAAGATGAGATAAAGCCTGTTCTTCCCCAGCAGCAGATTTTAGACAGAGTGAGAACTACGAAAGTAGTTGATGTGTCTGAAGCCACACATGAGTCAATGAGTGTGAAGGAACCGGCATCACAAGGGAGTGCTCCACTGGTTGAGGAAGAAGTGCAGCAAAGGATGGCTTCTGGGGAGGCAGGTAATGTATTGGTCTGGGTATTATTGTTTTTTTATTCTGTTGGCCTACTATTCTATTTTAGAACTTTTTTCAGGAGCGTATCAAGTTCTGTGTTGTCTTTTGTTTTATTTGACATGTATTAGTAGGATAGATGTGTTGAGTAAAATTATTTTTTCCTTGAAAATTGAAAAGAAGTTTGTAGTGATCTCTTATTGGGTTTTGATTGTATATTCGCTACAGGAAAGAAAAGGAAAAAGAAGAAAATTCGAGTGCCAGCGAATGGTATGCCTTTTCTCTTATTTTGTTTTTGTAAACATAGATGTCTCTGTTCAAGTTCTCTGCAGTAAATTATATATTTGATTGATATACTCTAATCCTTGTGCTTTAATATGTATATAACATGATTACATCCTACGCAGACATGCAATGGAGAAACCCTCAAGATCTTGCAGCTGAAAACTATATGATGCCTATGGGCCCTGCTGCTTATAATCCATACTGGAATGGCATGCAACCTAGCATGGGCATGGAAGGATATATGACACCATATGGTGGTCCGATGCCGTATATGGGTTATGGTCCGATGGACATGCCATTTGGGGGTCTTGGTCCACAGGACCCATTTGGTTCTCAAGGCTATATGATGCCCATGGTTCCGCCTCAGAGGTATGCATTCAACTCATGAATTTCTTAGTGAATGGGTGTGATGTTGGTGGGTTTGTGTTATGAATACTGTTATTCAAATTAGGTATGCAAGTTAATGTTATTTTCCTTTGAACCATTACACGACCCTGTAGGTTTGTAGGTGGTACCATTGCCCTAAGCATATCATTATATGGTTTCAAGTTGCAATTTAGTAATTTTTTTCTTCCTTTCGATCCTAAAGCCTTATTTCGTTTTAAATTTTGAACTTCATACAGGGATCTTGCGGACTTTGGTATGGGCATGAATGGGATGAATGGCATGAATGGGATGAATGGGATGAATGGCATGAATGGGATGAATGGCATGCATGGGATGAATGGCATGCATGGACCCCCCATCATGAGCAGAGAAGAATTTGAGGCTCGGAAAGCTGATTTGAGAAGGAAGCGTGAAAATGAAAGACGGGGTCAAAGGTAAGATTGAACTCATTATTTCTTGTTGGATTTGTGATGCATATATTATAACTTACACGTATATTAGATAGATGGCCATACTCTGTGAGTTGGTCTACCAAAGTGTTTCGCCTCCTTGGTAGTCATTGTAAATTTTGGACACTGTATGTGAAGTCTTAATGGTTTGTGATATCAGTGACTTAATTGAGTTGTGAAATTCCTATTTGGCATGTTGGTTGTTGATAATAAGAGTCGATAATACACTGATGCAAGCTTAGTCACATGTAACACATGTTGTTTCTCCCTGTACTGGAATAATCGTCTTACTTTTGATCCTAGGAGTTTTGTCTGAGAATCAAAAAAGTATAATGCTTATTTATTTTCCTTGTTGCAAGACAGACATTTGATAGATAAATCCTTAAGAATTGGCGTTATGAGTTAGCTGTTTGCGCTTGTGTCTGGAATTTATCTTTTACATATATGGGCATTGCATCATTATAGTCTAATAACGATATTACTTGTTGAGACATCTTATGTCCCCTAATGCCGCAACTATTTGTTTAGACTATTTTAGCCTGGTTGAATATTAAATTATTTTCATTGTTCTGTTTTTGACGGCAGGGAGTTGTCCAAAGATGGGGAGTATGGAAGGGAAGTGAGCAGTGGCGGCGGCGGCGGCAGCGATGTTCCTCCAATGAAACCAAAATCTGTACGTCTCTATTGTGCCAATTTCCCTATCTTGTTATCCTTGTTTGTATGCTGCAGCAGCTGCTTATGGTATTTATCAGCATTTTTGCAAGGCAACACCAAGTTGGCAATAGAAAGCCAACTTGGCCAAATAACGCCTAGAGAGATTGCACTGCTGCAGCAGCAGCTAGGATCAAACAGTATTAGTCCCGTTTTCCTATCACTTTGACTTTATTATTCTTGTTTGGTTTTTAGTTTTAAATTATATCGTATTTATTCTCTTGGTAATTCATGCTCCATTGGAGAGAAGATATCCTAGTTTGGCCTTTGTCGCGGTGACTTAAACCGTTGGATAAATGGCTAAACTAGGCAGGAGTTGAGGTCAATTTTGGGCTGGATCCCATTACTACCCAATTTATTCCGAGTACAAAATTGTTTCTGGAAATTGTTGGTTTAAATTCTTGGAAAAATTAAGTAATGGGCTCCAAAAACACCTCTTCCCCCTCCACCGAAACTTGTTATATTAAATGCCTTCTTGTTTGAAAACTGAAAAAATAAAATAAACAAATCATCCTAATTTTAATCTTGTCATGGAATTTGATGGACCTGAAATATTAAAAGAAAAATGTTTGCGAGCACACCGGAACCTGATTTTGAAAAATAAAAGGAAAAGATAGTAAATGGGCACCATTTGAGTGACAGTGAAAAGTCAATAATTTTGTCATGGTAATTTTTGCTGGCATGGAATGTTTCTTTGACTTATTTGTTGTTGGTGCAGAAGTCAATGGCCCGATCACCAAGCCCAGATTATACTACTCATCACCGCAGTCACAGACGCGAGAGGCCGTCTCCAGAACGAAGACCCTCGCGTGACCCGCGTGACCTGGAGCCACAGCCGCCTCCGCGTCCTCCAAAGAGAAACTCCGAGCAGCAGCAGCACCACCACCACCACGACAGAGAACGCGAGCGCGACCGAGATCGAGAACGCGAGAGGGACCACGACCACGAGGATGGTCATCCACGCCATAAACGCCACCGTTCTGAGTCGTCGTTGGGAAAGCCTTCCGGTCTAACGACAACATCGGCGAAATCTACCTCCTCTATAGCATTAGCTGCGGCAGAAGCGGCGGCGGAGCGGAAGCACAAGGCAAGCGTCTTCTCTCGCATAAGCTTTCCTGAGGGAGAAGTGAGCAAGAAGCGGAAGGCCTCTTCTTCCTCCACTGCTTCTGCCGCCGCTCCTTCTCCGGCGGAGGAGGATAACAGGTCGGCGCATTACCATCACAAGGAGTCGTCGTCGTCCTTGGCGAATGGGTTATACGAGGAGTATAAGTCGTCGTCTACGGCGGCCAAGGCTGCGAGCAGCGGAGCTGGAAGCAGAAAGACTATGGTCAGAGCTGCTTCCATGGAGTATGAGTCGAGCGACGACGATCGGCACTTCAAGAGGAAGCCGTCGAGGTACGAGGAGTCGCCGCCGAAGGCAGCGGAGCAGGAAGAGCCCTCCAGGCACTCGAGAGGCGGCAAGGATCGGGAACGCAGGCAGAGATAGATAGGTTTTAGGGAAATGCCCGTATTGGTTTTATCCAGAACGACATCGTTCCTCCCCTCACTCTATGTTTTGGGTTTTGGGCCTTTTGAGGTGGCTGGGTGTGGTACTGTATATGTAAAGAAGCCCAGTCGGAGGTGTTGCGGGGGCCCAATGAATGTTTTTGGGCTTTTTTTGGTTTATGCTTGAAATTTCGTATCGCATGTTTTTTGCGTATCTGAAAACCCTAAAATTACAAATATGAATAAGGAGTCTCTTTCAAGATCATGATTCCTATTGAGTATTAATATTTTATTTACTGAGAATGTTTTAATTTTTGCCACTAATTGATGTGTTTGTTTAACATTCAAAGCTAGAGAAACCTAATATTTTATCAAGCATAAAAAATGTTTAGCTTCTTGGTTTAGAAATGAAGCCTCCCGCTCCCTCCTAATCAATGACCCTAAACATCAAATAATTTGGGCTTGGTGATCAAGCTGATTATTCCAATCAAATAATTAGCTTGATCGAACCATGTCTAGCCCTACCTAAACTTCAAGTAACTACAAATGATATCGATTCGAACCATAATGAGATGAAATCTTAAAAATCTAAATCTTACAAACACATTCAATGAGTGCACTTCAGCATTTCATTTATTCAATTATGAGCCTTCAAACCTCTCTTTTTTTTTTCTTTTTTTTTTTAATAACCAGTAACGCCAAGTTTCGAAGTAACATTTGAGGAATAATTTTGTTGTTGCCTGTAACATTATCGTTTGTGCAGTTTTCACTCTCGGTTTGCCTTTTTAGATGCGTTTGTTTTGTTACCTTTTTGTGCTTGGTGTTTTGGATATCTTTGTCCATGTCTTAGATGTGTTGTTTAAGTTTATGTTATGAAATTGTTATTTTTCTTAACACTATTTGAATGAAGAAATTTAAGATTACTAACGAAGTTTAAAATGACGGAAATTGAATTGACGAGATTTTATTTTCTAGAATTTGTTAATTTTTTGTTTGGTTAATCTAAAAGAATAATGGAATGAATACGGAATTTGTTATTTTTAAGCTCTTAATCATAGAAATTAGGAATGACACCTATTTACATGGACTTTAAACTTGAGAATTGGAGGTCCAAATTCCAAGTTTTTTTTTCACTCGAAAATTCTAAATTTCTATGTTTATGAATTAAAATAAGGGAATTGGTGCATGTCAATTTACAAATTCTGACTTTTATCCAAATTTCAAATTTATTTTTCTCATCCAAACATAGTGTAACAACACAAAACAATGGGATTTAGGGCCAGTTTTGATAGATCATAAGACCATCTCAAACCATTGGGTTAAAACCTAAATTTTTTAGCCCCGAAAATGTAGGTTTTAACCTAGAAACATCTTTTTTTGTTCCAACCCTTATGAGTTAAAATTTTAGCCCCAGATTATTAAAAAATAAATTTAGGCTAATTTTTTTCTTAAAGTAACTTTTTTAAAAGAAAAAAATTATGTAGACTATCCTAATTTAATTTTATGAACATGTTAACCTACAAATATTTAGATTCCGATAAATATTGAAAAATCACTAACCGACACTATGAAAGAATATAAAACACATAAAAGATTTTTTTTTTTAATTTACTTTAGCTATTGGATTTAAATTTGGACCGCTAGATATTTTTTTTTTTTACTATTAAATTTCATCAAATTAGATCTTAACCGTTGGATTTAATGAATTTATAAATATAAAACTAAAAAAAATATATATACATATATGGTGGGTCAGCCCCACTAACCTAGGCAGAAATCATGAGCTAAATTTGATCCATAATTAAGTTTTGAGTTTTAATTCATATTTGCAGCAAGAGTTATAGTAAGTTTAGGTAAATTTAAAATCTAAAATTTAAATTTTACTCTAAGGTTGAAGTAAGTCTAAAGGAAAGCTCTTGATTAGGGCATTTCAATTTACTCGGCCACATTAAACTAAAATCCCGTTAAAAGCCGAGAAACGTGATGTAGTTTAGAAATATACGACACGTCGTACTTCTGAAGACATTTTAGGGTTTCTAAGAAACAATGGACGGCCCAGATTCGAAATCCCTGATCCTTTCGAGCACTATATAATGTCCAGTTTTCGCCACAAACCCTCACTCTGTGCTTTGAAAACCCTAGCCCCGACTGCCCAACCCTGTGCGTCGCAGCTCATTTCTGATCCGGCCATGGGTACTCCTCTCTCTCTCTCTCTCTCTCTCTCTCGCTCTCTCTAGATTCATGATTGGTTAACTGTATAAAGTTATTGTTAACTGGGTTTGGTTTTTGCTTGATGCTTAGCTGACAAGTTCATCTTTCTCTTGTTAACCTGCATTTTTTTTTCTAGGAAATAGATCGCATTTCCGTGGTTTAATTGGTTTTTTCTTATTTGTTTAAGTTTGATTTTGTACATAATTAATGTTGGGGATCATGAATTCTGTAAAAAAATTCTATGAAATACACTACATTTCAAGGTTTTAAAACCGCTTCTCTGATTGGTTTAATTTTGATTACATGATGGTATTGGGTTAAATGATTTTTATAAAATTCAGTTGTATAACATGTTTTGTTTTGTTTTTGGGGACATTTTAGGGGCTTACAAGTACGTATCCGAGATATGGAGGAAGAAGCAGTCTGATGTGATGAGGTTCCTCCAGAGGGTCCGCTGCTGGGAGTATCGCCAGCATCCTTCGATTGTCCGAGTCACAAGACCCACACGCCCTGATAAGGCACGTCGTTTGGGTTACAAGGCCAAGCAGGTACTGATAATTTCATCAACCATAAATTAATGATTATGATGGTATGTGATAGGATTACTGTCTTATCCGGAACAAGGATCCTTTCCGGATCCTCTTTGTGGGGATCTAATCAATCATGTCCATTCATCATGCGGTCATAAATTGAATATAAATAGCATCTAACAAAACTGACTTATGATGAACGGACACGTTTGATTGATTCGTGTCAGTGTTTTGGTGAGCATGCATACTGTCTCTAATACATTGCTTTGCTTATGTTGTGCATCAGTTAATCTAATCCAGAGTATGCACTGGTTAAGCAGCACTTTGATGCCTAACCATTGTGCCTATAAATGCCTTGTTTTATAATCATCAAATGCTTCCTGAGACTGGCTATACTAAATCAAATAATCGATCTTCTACCGAGCGAGTCCTATGTATAGTTCTTGCTTTTGCCTCAATTTGATAGTGAACTATTCTAGTCGGTGTCCTGGATTTTTTTTCTTGTGTTTTAATTTATAAACATCTAATTTGTTACTGTTTGAATGCTCCCGTCGTTTGCTGGTCCCCAGTCATGTTTGAAGTAATTTGGTGATTTAGCTGATGTTTCTTGTAAAATTTGTTTCAGGGTTACGTTGTTTACCGTGTCCGTGTGAGGCGTGGTGGGCGCAAGAGGCCTGTTTCCAAGGGTATTGTATATGGAAAGCCCACAAACCAGGGTGTGACACAACTCAAGTTCCAGCGTAGCAAGAGGTCTGTTGCTGAGGAGCGTGCTGGGCGCAAGTTGGGAGGCCTCAGGGTTCTCAACTCATACTGGCTCAATGAGGTTTGTGACTCACTTTCAACTTTTGAGTTGGTTGGATTTGGGCTTGGTGTTAGTTTGATTTTCCGAAGTCTTGCTTACAATTTTTTGTGATGCAGGATTCGACCTACAAGTACTTTGAGGTCATCATGGTTGATGTTGCTCACAATGCCATCAGGAACGACCCAAGAATCAACTGGCTCTGCAACCCTGTTCACAAGCACAGAGAGCTTCGTGGTCTTACTTCTGCTGGAAAGAAATACAGGGGTCTGCGCGGAAAGGGTCATCTGTACCACAAGAACCGACCTTCTCGCAGGGCAACATGGAAGAGAAATACCACCCTTTCACTCCGCCGTTACCGTTGATTTCAGTTGTGTTACCTTATGTTGTGGCGTTATTTCTGCGTACTTTCAGGAAGAGTCTGTTATGGATTTGAAATTTTGGCAGATAAAAACTTAAATCGTGTTTTATTTGAATGATTTACGGTCTTATTTGAAAGTCTTTTGGGACGTATTACCTTTTTTTACTCTTCCTGATTCTTTTGATATTTTTCAAGGTAGTCATTGTTTTGGTAATGTTTTCACATCTTGTGATATCTACCATGCTTCATTCAGTGAAAGCTTGGTCAAACGAGTTAAAAGAAAATTCCTGTCAAGATTTTCGCTGACTTTACAGTACAAGCTTTGATTTCTATTATTTTGTTCTTGAACCCGAAGGGAGGATATGAAAACACAAACATGGTTTGAAATTGGATGAGTCCAGTTATGTTAGAGCACCCATCGTGTTGATAGTTTTAACATTCCAATCTACACTGGCATTATTGTTCAGAATCTTTTTTCTTGTTGCAACAGATTCGGATTCATGAGTACAATTTACATGAATTGAGTTCACCATTACCATGGCGTCCTGTCCTGTTCAAATAACACAATGATGTCTTAAGTTTTTCATCATAGGCGTATAGAGGATCAGGAGGACGGTAGTGTCGGTGAACTTGTTCCATGTAAATGCTTCAAATTCAAAGGTACGATGCCTTGTATTCTAGATTGATCAACTTATCCAGCAATTAGTGTCAGAATCTTGTTCGTTTCAAACTAGCCAAATTTTGAAACACCTAGCTACACCAGCTTCTGAGATTTACACAACCAAAAATACCCAAATCTGGACCAAAAGAAAAGAACCGGGATGGTGCTTCCCTCCAAATTCGACCGTGACACAGACGTTTGTCCCAGAGTTAACCTGCGATCACAAGCTTGACCGCTGATACTTTGATACTTTGGAACATGATTTTATGAGTAATACTTTGAACTTGTTTGGCGGCCATTCGCTAACCATTTTATTTATAAAAACCGAAACTGATAACTGAAAATGAAATGGTTATTAAACCGCCCGGTAACTCCTAAATTCTTAATACGGCAGCCAAGCCAGCATTAAGCTTAATCACCATACAAAATCACAAAAACAAAACCCAAATTACAAATCAAAACCCTAAACCAGAGTCAAACACTCAAAGTAGGAATCATCCCAGCCTCCCTAGCATAAGCAAAGATCCCGCCAGCTCTAATAACAGGGCCCGCGTCCCCAATCGGCTTCAACGTGTACTCCTTCCCCGTCGTGTGATTGATCAGACGGCTCTCGCTCAACTCAATGCTCACCACATCCCCCGTCTTGCACTCCTCGCAAACCCTACTCTCCGATTCCAGCGGGTACACCTCCCCCGTCGCCACCGAGTTCCTGAAAAATATCCGAGCGTACGACTCCGCTACCACCGCCGCCACTCCCGACGCTCCCAGCGCCACCGGCGCGTGCTCCCGCGACGACCCGCACCCGAAGTTGGCGCCCCCGATTACGATCGAGTACTTCGACTTGGTCTCTCCCGGGTCCACGAAGCGCGTGGAGTATGAGGCGGGGAGGCCAGCAGAGCGCGTAGGACCCGAGCTTCTCGTACTCGGAGGGGTTGGAGGGGACCAGGGTTAGGTACTCGGCGGGGATGATCTGGTCGGTGTCGATGTTGTCGCCGACGACGTAGCAGAGACCGTGGAATGTGGTGGATGGAGTCGTGGAGGCGCCTGCGCGTGTGGAGAAGGTGGCGCGTGAGATTGGGGTTTGGGTTTGGGTTTGTGGGGCGTGGGTTAGGGGTTTGATGGGGGTGGGGGATAGGGTAGGGAATTTGAGAAAGTTGGGGGTAGAGAGAGAGGATCTGTGGGAGGAGGTGGTGGTGGTGGTGAAGCTAGGGTTTGGAGAGAGGGCGAGAGAGGCGGCGCCGGCCATTGTGGGGTTGGAGAAAACAAGGAAATGAAGCGGTTATGTGTGTTCGAACTTTTAAGTAGGGATTGGAGTATTTAAGTAGTGAAAGGTGGCTGAACGACACTAAAGATGTTGTCGTCTTATGTGGGGAAAAGGCAAATTTGGAGTTGAACTCCTCACTTTTTTTTTTTTTTTAATTTTTTTTTTAATACATTGATATTTTTACTCTAAGAAGATGGGAAGTTCGGCTAAACCACACAATGGGCAATATAATTTGGTATTGAATTCGTCATTCACAAAATTCAAACTTAATACCTCTTACTTTCAAGTAAAGAAGATTACCACCAGATCGTAATACTGAGTGGCTGAACTTCTCACTCTTTTTGAACTCGCATTCCTGCCTTCATGTCTTCTTGTGTATTTCACAAGGCCAAATAGAAAAAAGTTGGAATTTGATCCTTAACTAGGATCATTTAACAATGGAGTGTTCAAGAACTTACTTTTTATTCATTGGAATGTGATTACTGTGCACTTATTTTACCATTGATTTCTAACCTATGAATTGGGAAAATCAAGAAATAAAAATAAATAAAATTGTGCAAAAGGTATCTTATATTTGTTTTTGAACACCTTTTTTCTACTCTTGTCACACATATTTAGATTATTCAATCCAAATGTCATGGGTGTAATGGGAGAAAAGAGGTGTGAAAATCACTTTCTAATAAGAAAACAAGTTAGGAAGGATCTGAAAGGCCTGAATTGTAGATCAATTTGTGAATGCATTTGGTAGTCTAACCGTGCTCCAAAATTGCGTGTATGTACACAAATCAATATCTGAGTCATCGAGAACACTTTCTTTGTGGGATATTAGTTGAACCCGCAGCTTACGAGTACAGTGTGAAAAAAACCTCCAAAGTAACTTACGAGCATATAACAGAAAAGAGGAAGAATATAACCTCAGCCCTCGGCAGGTTCATGGATTTTTGAATACAACTTCTTTCGGCACGGTATATTTACAGTAATGTGGGTTTCTGCGGTCTACAGCATTCCATGAATGTAGCTCTCTTTCAAATTATGTAGTGCTTCTCTGATCGAATCCTCATCTTGGCTCGAGTACTTCAAACATATCAGCCGCTGTGCAACGTGGTAAGCCATCTGGACTGGATGGTATTGCAGGCAGTTTACTTCCATCCTCTTCACTTCCTATACATTGAAATTTCAAATTTGCTGAGTCAACGGTTCACGAGAAATGGACTTCCGTACAGAAAACTAAAGTTACTCTTTCAACTAATCCAGATCCAGTGAAAAACAAGGCAAAATCAAGGCAGGATGGCGTTTAAAACCCATGTCAATGCCCTACTACTTGTCAGCCAAATTTAAGTTGGGATTAACTTTAAGTTATTGGTACTCAGAAAGAGATTACCTTCTCTGTCATCCTGGATGTGATGTTTCTGGCTGTTTCCATCACAGAGCTTGGTAATCCTGCCACTTCTGCTAACAAAAGACCATAGTGTGGAACATGTCTCGGCCCATCCTTCAGTTGAAACTAGGGGAAAAGACAAGACTTTCAGCAAAATAAACTCGAATAAAATGCATCGAATGAAAGAATAACGGAAAAACCACCTTGAACTCTAAACGATTATTTTTAATATCAACGTCAAAGTGAAGTATCTTCACATTTGGGTAGATGGTTACTAGTTCAGATAGGTTCTCCATATGAGTAGCAAATATTGTGTACCTGAGAAAGATTGAGAAGAAGGTAAGTTATCTACTGCAAGTAAAATTTGGTTAATAGGCTTTGCTCACCTTGAAAATGTCAACAAAGCAATCATACAATGAATAGTGACAACAGGAACAAAATAACTAGATAGAACTAAAGAATGATATTTTTGTGTCTAACTTCTTTACGGTTTTAGTAATGGCGAAACTCCAACATATAATTTTTCTTTTCTTCAATCTCTTATATGATGATATAAAGATCCCGGTTAAATGCCTGTCACAGAGAGCACAAGCACTTAAAAATTCCAGAATTTTGCAAGACACTAACAAATTTTACATTACACCTCTGAAGTATTGAAAAATATGTTGTAGTATGCCTATTTGTCTAGACTAGTTATCTATGTATTCTAGTATGTAGATAATTTGAGTTGCTTCTTTTCTGCAGTATCTTACGATTGAGAAGTTCAAAACTATGCGAGCAAATTTTTAAATGATAGCATGATTGGAAGCATTACGCTTCAATTCATGTGATATATAAACTCTGTATATCAATGGTTAAAAGGACACATTCTAACGTTTCTATGTTCAAAACTCATAAGCTTTCATGTTACTAACCAACTAGGAATCTTAGTATATGGTAATTGAAAAGGAGGTTACGCTTTCAGTGATAATAAATGTTCGCAGCAGCTCCAAGCAATTGCAAATCCATCAGAGGAAGATGTGGCCCTCCCAAGTTCATCCATGATAACCAAACTCCTGCGTCGAAAATGATATTATTTACATATTCAAAAGGCTAAATAATTTTTGTAGTGTACTAACTACCTCTGGGAGACATTTTGCATGATAAAAGCTGTTTCTTTCATTTCTGTCATGAACTGTTACAGGTAACAAGAAGGATTTGTTTCTAAGTATTCCATATTTAATAGAGAGAAGCTGCATTGTTAAAAGTTAAAACATATCATGACTCCATATTTCTGATAGTGAAGTTCGAAAATTTACTGTACTAGAGTTCGATTCAAGATTATCTACTGCACCCATCCTTGTAAATAAACGATCAACAACCCTTAGAGTTGCAAAGCGAGCAGGTACATAGCAACCCATCTGAGCAAGAATAACTATAAGACACACTTGTTGAAGATAAGTGCTCTTTCCACTCCTGACAGAAATATCCTACAGTTAAACTCGAGCAAACAGTAACCTAATTGATCACATTTTTCAAAAAAAAAAAAAAAAAAAAAATCATACATGTATTTGTACACTCATCCATCTCCATTTCAGTCCAAACCTGTAAAGCTTATCACATGCATATTCTCACTGTTTGCTGGTAAAAACATGGTTTTCTTCTTCACTATTTAACCTGTTCTCTAAACTAATAACTGGATGAAGCCAGCAATTTTTTCCCTCCAATTGTACTCTAATTTGCCTTTGTTATAATTAGAAGAATTAGTTTATGGTCACAAATAGAGACAACACATAATATTGAATGTAATGCTTGAACAGAAATTCTTACATGTTTGGGCCCATGATGAGCACCATGTTTGATGCCTCTGATAAAAAGATATTGTTGGGCTGCAAGGAAAAAAGACAGATGAAAAAATAGCTCTAGTGGACAGAATTTCAAGCATATCGATGAGAAGAAAGTATAACAAAAGGTTTAGATGTCTAATCTTGTACAAGTAATCGAATTATAGAAAATAAGAGTTACGTACAACAAAGTCATTGTGTATAGTCTCTAGGATAGGGTGTCTTCCAGCATCAATTGCTATTGGGCCATTATCTATAAGTAAAAGTAACAGTATCAAGGATATCTTGTATTGAACATCCAAAGTCATGAGTTTTAATGCCAGAGGATAGAAACTTGCCTGTGAATTCGGGTCTAGTATAACGATCAGCAGGCTTTGTGGAAATGGCATGTGCAAATGAATTAACAATCATATCCAAAAGGCATAAGACCTCTGCCAGCAGTGTGAGTACAGAAACATCCTCTCGTATGGCATCTACTAATTCTGCATGTAATATAGAGACATCAGTAATCTATATTTGCATAAGATATAAGAAGATATAAGCTAGATACCAAAAGGTCAGTACATATGTCTAAACATCATCATTTACCAAATACTCAAGCTTATAGAAGGCATTAAAACCGATAAAACAATAAGATAAAAAAGTTCAACAAGATCCATGCATTTCCTATAACCGCACTAAGCTAGTATTATCAGCAATGCATATACAAGATGTTCAATGGTCCACATAACAACGGTAAAGACAATATTGAATGTTACCACTTGGACAATCCAAAAAGAACATGCTACATTTCAAATACACAAAAAATGGAAAAAGAAGAATTGTCCTGTCTGAGAAAAACATCATTTACAAGTTGTTTATGATGAATCAAGTTAGCGTTAATAAGCTTCAATTCATGGTTCAATCCCATAAAATGATGCACTGAAATTGTTTCGGAGTCCAATCACAAGAAAATATTCATGTTCTGAGTAGATAAAGCCCATTGACAGTGATGGTTTCAGGACCTGATAACTGATATTCACTTGGACACTAATATTTAACCTTCTCCTTCCCAAATCAAGAAACTTGAACATGATGAAAAGGAAGGTTTTCCCACGTGTTGTTCAACCAATAATAAGCACTGCTTCAAAATAGTAAATTACTTGTTTAATTAAGATTCACTCATTTACTGACACTACCATTCTGAAATGTAAACAAAAGCAAACACTTGAAGCTTATGATACAGAAATAGACCAAAAGAAGCTTATGATACAAAAGATGTATGTTTAGCATAACCTTCTAGGCAAACTTCTGTACGTACGTAGCATTCTGCAGCTGCAGACTTATTTCTAACGTTTAGCTGTAAATTTCATGCAATGGAGAAACATAAATATAAATTTTAGTATTCATTTAAGTTATAAAGATATTGACACTTGAAAATACCATAGACACACATGCACAATTTATATTGAAACTTGAATTTATTCATCTGAAAAAAAGAAGGCTCAAGTCAAATATATTGCAAAAATCATAAAGAGGTGCGATGCTTCTTTTACTCTTATTTACGTTGATGGCCCTGATTTTTGTTAAAAAGAAACGCTTGAGATAAAACACATAAAAGTCATAAAAATTTAAGAAATAAAGGCACCAACATCATCCTATATGATGATTAAACCTATATCTAAGATTTCTGTACGAGTTGGTCTAGTACAAATGATCCCCTTAATTTACACCTCCTAAAATCAAGGTTGTATTTGAAAATGGTCTCTATGAACCTGCTTAACCTAATGTTCTAATCAAAATTAAAGATGGGAGTTCAATCCGCTCCACAAATGAAGTTCTTAGCAAACTCAAGCAAAATATATCATTCCAAAGATCATAGATTGAACTTATTATAGTTGCAAAGGCACCATTATAAGTTGTAAGTTATAACCAATCAAGGAAATGCCAACGTTCACAGACAATTAAGGCTGTACAGATAGAACCTTGGAAGTGACAGTTATATTTTGAATGGACAAGATGGCTTGAATAATACAACAATCATTATTTAGAGTGGGTAAATTGAATTTAATTCAATTAAAGATTGAGTCATAGTACTCACAGAAGCAAGCTCCAAGGTTGAGCAGTGTATATTATTCCCATGTTTCAATACCTATGTCAGAATATCATATAGAACTCAGAAATAACTAGTAAAGAGATGTTAGTAATTTAGAGAAAGCTTGTCCTAAAGGCTAAACCTGAATGAACTGGCTAGGAAGTTTCCCTTGAATGTCCTTATGTGGAATGCTAAAGTAGAACCCTTGCCTATTGTTAAACGGGAGTTTCAGATTGGGCAACTTGAAATCTTCACGATACTTGTTAGCAAGATTATGTATAGCTGCTAATTCAACATTGACAAAACATTGGCCTTATTACTTTATCTCAAATATAAGAAACCAAAAGACAAATTGAACATGAAGGGAAATGGACAGAATTTTAATTGCATATGTAAAAAGAAAACACCTTCACTAGTATCACAAAATGATCTCCGTGCAATATCCAAGAGTCCATCGATTCCAGCTTTGACAGCAAAACACTGCTGTGTGCGGGCTACAAATGAAACCCGTGCATGAAGCACATCCTCATCAATAACCTCTCCAATCCTGAAACAAATGCAGCTTCTTGATTTGCCAAACAATGTATATACATCACACAACAAGCAAGAAACTTCAAACATGTACATTCATGGAAGTATGATAACTACTTTAGTACTCGTAGTTGAATTTCTCCACCTTTATATGATTATCAATCAAATAAAGTTATTTTATGTAGCAATCCATGCAGAATTTATCATCAACTTCATCAGAAGTTGGACCCTAGCACTTGGGTTTGACCATCCCTATCCAATTTAATGGAAATATGCTAACTACTTTAGTGCTTGGGTTGAATCTCTTAAACTGTATGATCCACTTGATCAGGTAAGTTGGACACTAACACCTGAGGTTGAGTGCATGCCTCTGTAACATGGAGTGTTTTAGGTTGTAGGCACGAGTCGCAAGACCATACTCATGGTACAAAAAGCATATTTGGAATTGGAATATGCCTGTTATGTACAAGGAAAAGGTTAAATCAAACAATAAGAAAAAGATTGTTAAAGGAGGCAATTGTTTTAATTAGTAACTCTAGTTAAGGATTTTTTTTGGTGAACTATGAAGGGATCTTTTTATAAGGGTAGAACTGATGTACTTTCATATTGCAAAAAGAGGGGACAAAGGTGAATGTTTTAGAACATACTGGATATATTTTGGTTGTGGTCATTTCCCAGAGGATGCCTGGACTAATTTGGCCACTTAATTTGATCTATTTGGATATTAGAATTTATTGAACAAAACATATGAAGAAAGTTGAGGTTCCACCATAAAACCAATTGGCAATATGGGGAATAGCCCATCTTACTATAAGCCCATGCAAGATCCCTCCTCCCATCAATGTGGGACTCATTCTCAACAACATATTCCAGTGCCAAATTCAAATGAGTTAGGGATGTCAGAAAAACAAATTTACAAATGATCCACCAGGACTATAGAAGCTTGGAAGCAAACCTCTTTCTAATGGCAGCATACTTCTCATTTTCACATACAGACTGGTAAACATTTGCAAGAAGAAAACACTTTGCATCTTTAAGAACCTGAGATTTTACGAAACATTGATACTTTGGATCATGTTTTGAGCACTGTAAAATTTGTCTATGTGTTGGAAAGAAAATAATGCTTGACATCGACATTTGTGTAAAGTAATTTTTACCTTTGAGAGTAAAGGCAAGGCATCCAGAGCAGTTTTCAGAAGAATGATACTTGAAACCAACACTTGGCTTTTTCTAGCACAATCAACACCCACAACTTTGTTTGTAATTTTCTTTGGCTTGAAGCAAAAGTGACAAAGTACCCTATCTGCATGAACACATACACAACTCCACTCGTTCACGATATGAATAGATAGATTTACCGTATTAAGGCAAAACTTTCCTCTGCTTTCTTCTACCCTCTTACCACTCTCTTTTGGAAATTTACGCAGAACCTGAGCTAGTCCAAAGAACAGCTGTTCGTTGCTCATGAGCTCATCCTAAAATCAAATATTAAGGAGACTTAGGATCGTAAAACTATTGCTGCAAAATAAAATATCCATCACAGGAGCTTTAAGATTCAGAACTTTATATGTATTTTCAGAGGATACAAAGTAGACATTATCATTGTATTCTTGCTTTTTCATGTATAACCATGCCCAAAAAATAAACACAAAGTCTGCCCAACCAACTTTGCAATTCAAATAACATGATCCTTTTTCATTCTTCTTAAAATTAGATAGAGAAATAAAGGTTAACAAATTGAAAAGGATCTTAAATGGATAAAATAATACATAGATCCACAAGAGATGGTTGAGAGCAAATAACACTGACCAGGCAATCTAGACGAGCATTTATAGTTTCAATATCTTTTAAAGGCTGCAAAAGATTGGCACGAAGAAGTCTGGACCTGCAGTCATACATTGCTCCACATTAGATTTATATAAACAAGAAATTGGAAAGGAGAGATCTACCACCAGAGAATTGTAGCTATAAAAAATATACATGAAATCCTGGATAATACTACAGTGAACCAGCCCCTCATACCCTCCAACTGTTTTTGTTGTCTTAAACATGTTTAATAAACTTCTTTTCTTGTTGCTGGTGCCCCAAAGTGTCGAATGAAGTGGCTCAATGATTTCCAAGTTTTGGACACTGTAAACAAATTTCAATTGTAAAGGTCATTACCAAGAGATTACTAATAAAATATATGTTGACCCATTGTAGATTTATCTGAAATAATTTAGAAAAACGTCCTAATATCACAAAAAAAAATCGTCTGTTTAAAGAATAAAAACGGAGCTCAGCCCTAGATAAATTCAAAGAAGGGAAGGGAGAGTACCTAGTCGCATCAATATTCATATGAGCAAATGATCCATTAAAAGTGACCTGGAGAAGGGATATGTGCAATGAAGTAAATGTTTAATTCATCACAAAGACAAAAAGAGGGTTGGATGGCAGTGCAGACTGATGGGAGTTCTTAGCCAGAAGAGAAGATAAAAATACAGAAAAATATTGTTATTGATCTGCTCTGCGTGCAGATAGCTGATTTATATGTTCTTTAAGAGAGGGATATTATTGATATACAAATGATAACTTTCTTCTGATATTATTTTACAGGTCACGAAAGAACGTGCATTAACTCATACCACAAGTGAGTGGTTTGTGACAATGACTCCTTTCTCTGCTTCTATCCTGTTCATCAGGCACTTGATGCATTACCAACAGAAAAGGCAAGGGTAACAGGTTCTATAACAATAAAACGTGCACATTGCTAACAAGTTCAACATAAGGCAACTGAAAAGGTACGGAAAAAAAAAAAAATACACATTCAACATGACACGCTCTTTCTAGTAAATAGAGCTAGAATAGCATCAGGGGAAAAAATGTTAAAATATCTAATGTTCCTTGAATTATTCCTTAAAGAAACTCTTAAACGCCAAAATATGAATATGGTGAACTTCCTACATCATAATAAAACAAATGCCTAAAATTTGGAACACCATAATGTTAGAAAGCTCAAGATCTGAAAGTACCACTTAATTGTAGCTGCAGCAGCAGCTAAGCAGAGGTAATACTGCTTGTAATAAGTATCCAATCCTAGTGCTGATGGTTCCTTGGCTGCTAGATTTTTAATCAGTACGGCACCCTAGAACCCAACAATGGCACGCTAAGCTGTGAGCTTCAAGAGTGAACACCTATTTTGATGCAAACATTAGAGGATAAGGAATCTGTAACATAACCTTAGTGTCGTCGAAGCAACCACGGGCCATTACAACCTGCAGAACAGCACACTTGTTTAGTGGATTAAACAAGTAATCAAAAGAGAGGTAACCTCATAGGCATCCAGTATTCATGTACACCAAAAACAAGCGTGAGAGAGAGAGAGAGGGAGAGATAGCTAGCAATGTTAATGATTAAGGAACACAACCTTCTTGACTGTAGCATAAAATCTGTCCACCAACTCTGAAACTCCAACCATACCATCAGGTGCCAGCTTGTTCGGTGAAACAATAATCACCATAGGATCATAGAATTGCAGCAAGGTTTTCGTATTCTGATATGAACTGCTAGTTTCAATATATTGAGAAAGATGCAGAGAAGCTAATCTTAAATCAAAAGCTGCCACTCCAACCTGTCACAACATTTAGTGTCAGCTACGTATCCTGAATTCGTTGATCTCTATGCACCAAAACAATTTTAATACAGCTCTAGCATAACCTTCAGCTAATCAGCTGGAAGGAACCATAATCAAAAGTAAGAAACTTCTTCGATTTTAATTACAATATCGCGAACCAGTAAAAATCAAGAAAATATGTGAGAACAATAGGCCATATTTGGTTTAGCAACAGGATTCTTTTTCCTCTTTATTTGCAAAAAATTTAGAGTAATGAACTAATTATAATACAATTTTCCTATACTCTTAGCCTGATTTCACCAGACATTGCAAGACTATTGCATGTAAGCTAAAATATAACCTTGAAATTGAAAACTTAAGGACCAATTTTCCCCTACAAATTGAAGAATGTATAATGCAATTCATACACAATGCTAGCAACGTGATAATTCGAACTCATCCGAAAAGTTGGAAAATGCTGTGAAATCGGTTTCGTAACCAAGTAATTCAAAGGGAGCAGACAATTAACACAAGTACAAATGCTACTTTTTTTGAATTTTGAATCTCCATTCTCTTTCATTTTCCAGCGTTTTCTCGGGAAACAAACAAATCGAAGAAAATGAGCGGGAAATATTGAGAGATGGAAGAGCGAGCGAGCGAGCGAGCGAGCTTTACCTCCTTGGCTCTGTTCTCGATGAGACCGACGACGATGCTCGACCTCTCTCCTCCGTCGTCTTCCATTTTCTTCCTACACTCTCTCTCTCTCTCTCTCCTCTCTTTCGCTTCAACGAGTTTGTATTGCCCGCCAGCTTCTGTTCCGGGCGAGGGTGCTACTCATATACACGACTGTTGCTCGGGACAGGTGTCGCGTGCGCAGTGAGTGAAGTAAAAAACGACACTCGCTCACAGTTTCTGCGAAGTGTCGTTCATAGTTTTGATCAAAGGAACGCATTTCTGCCAAATTGCAGTGCATTTTTCAAATTCAGCTTCTTCAACATATTCCAATGCCACAAATTCACAAAACTCTTTATATATTCTTCATCATACTTGTGAAGAATTATCAAGCAACACTCAAATGAGCTAATTCCTTATTACCAAAATCAAACACCATATAAGACAAAGAAACGTTCCTGCGACATCCGTTTGATCAAGATCAAGCTTCTACGACCTTAGATCAAACAATCAAATCTTGGTCTTTTTGGATACTTTTGGAGTTCGCATCGGAGAATTAATTCTTGTAAAGAGTTTACTCGAGAAATCGCAACCCTATTCACTTAATTAATACAAATTTATTATTTTGTACACGTTTTCTTGTTTCATTGGTTTTAAGGAAAAAAAGATACGTGGCTGAGTTATAAGCATGATGAAGTAAGTTGCTGGTAAATATAAAGAAAATCAGTAAAGCTGGGTTTATTATTAATAGGTGAGCAAACATTAGTTTGTACGTACTTCATATAGGGAAGAAGAAATTTTAACAGCATTTTCTTCCCAACCCACACCAGCAACATGAAGGGTTCAAGACCTATACAGAATCTTTACAATTGCATTAATTCATGACTTCTTCAATCGTCACAAATCGGCCCTTCTCTATTGAAAGTTGTGCTGCAACTCCGATGGCAACTGAAACTAATCCGTCGTGCAAATCTACAGCTGGAGCTTTAGCTTTGGCCCTAATTGCAGATAAGAAGTGCAGGTGTTCCAAATAGCTAGATCCATGATGCAGTCCATCATATCTGAAACATAAATTGGTTTCAAATCAAATAAAAGGGGTACGCATTTCTGAAAACTTCCCCACATAGACTTGAACAGCGCTGAATGGGGGGTTCAGAACATGAACAGTTAAAACCAGGAGGAAAAAGAAAACTCACTTTATTTGATCATTCTCAGCTTTTAAAGTCTGGACACCATTTCTCCCATCGACTCGAGTACCAAAACGTACAATGCTCTCAGGAACAAAGGCCTCCCCCTGTCAAAAATTTGTGAGATGAATCAAAATGAAAGAAAACGCCACATGCAAGCATGAACTAAAGACAGCTGCGTACAAGAAAGTCGAGAAATTGAACTAATGATTCTACCACCAAGAGCCAATGGTGGAGTTGTGAATTGGTTTGCAAGTTAGTGTCAGGATAGGAATCTGGAAGCAGTGATTGGTGGAACAATCGATCAGGAGAAGCAGTGGAACAGTAACAAAGGACTCTAGCAGCGGTGAACGGTCAGCAGGTTCCGTCGACCAGTAGGATGAGGCAAAAGGTTACTGGTTTCGTGCAAGAGTCAGGGCGACTAATCGGACCTAGCTACCTGACCGGTCAGCCCACATTTACTGTTTCGTTTAAAAGCCCTATTTAGGCTAGTTTTGTCCTATTTGGGCTGGTTTTCTCGTCTCCTGGTTGGATCCTATGTAACCCTAATTCTTATACTATACCAATACAAACATTGGGAGGACTCTAAGCGTGCGAGTGAAATCAAAACAAGAACTGTGCAAAGAAATCAACATGAAGGATCTTGGGTCCTTGGTATGCATGGAGATAAGGAGGGACAAGAAAGTGGGAAAAGTTATGGCTATCACAAGGTATATACTTTTTGCAAAATGCTTGAGTTTAACATGTATTATGCAAAGCCCATGTTTACTTCCTTGGCATCGTATCTTAAGTTAAATGCGGGGATTGTCCTTCTAGTGACAAGGAGAAGGAAGTCATGAAAAGCGTTCCATATGCAACTGCAGCAGGGTGTCTCATGTATGCTATGGTGTGTACAAGGCCCGACTTGGCTCAAGCGGTTAGTGTTGTTTCAAGGTAAATGGCAAATCCAGAAAAGCTTCATTGGTCTGCAATGAAGAGGATTCAGATATTTGAAAGGCACTAATATCTTAAGGCACTTTGGGATTTTGCTTGAAAGATAACAAGGCAATTCAAGTGCCTCGGGTAATGCGGAGTCTGATTATGCGGGAGACTTAGATAAGAGAAGGTCCACCACTGACTATGTCTTTGTTTGTGGTGGAGGTCCGATTAGTTGGAGAGCAGTGCTACAATCGGTTACTGTGTTGTCTACTACTGAAGCGGAGTATATGGCATTGGCAGAAGCTTCTTAAGAAACTGTTTGGCTTGGCGGGTTAACATGGGACTTCAGGATTAATCAAGGTTCGGTTATGGTGAAGAGTGATAGCCAAAGTATTATATGTTTGGTCAGCAATCAAGTCTTTCATGGGAGGACTAAACACATAGAAGAGAGATATCATCGAATTCGATATTGGTGAAATGTTGGAGTCATTGAAGTAGAGAAGGTCCATACGATAAGAATGCTTCAGATAGCTTAACCAAGCCTGTCACAGCTGAGGAATTCAAACATTGTTTGAGCCAGCTCAAATCTTTTTTATGCTAAAGATTGAGGTGGAGCACCTTCCACCCAAGGTGTGTTCAGGCGAAGGATTATTCACCAAAGTAGAGTTCTTGGATGCTTAGTAAGGTTGTTTTCAAGAATATTCAGGTATGTTCTGGTCAAAACAACGGGACAAGTTGAAATTTCTTGAAGTTTTCCAGAGTTTCTTCAAGAGGTTCGAATATATTCTGGGGCGCAACAGTCATTTCTTAGTTTTGACCCACCAAGGTAGACATTGTTTTGTTTTGGCTCGTCAAAACACAACAGGTGGGATATAAGACATTGGTGTTATCGCATTCATATCCCACCCACCTCAAATTCAAGTAAAAGAAAATGGTCACTACAAGTAACGAGGCAGCAAAGACCTTAATCTAGTAAAAGATCATATTTTGTATGTCTGTGTCTCATGAGGGGGGAAGAAAGAGAGAGAGAGAGAGATTTACCTTTCCTATCTCACCAACAACAGATATTTCTTGCTCATTTTTAGTTCCTTCAGCAAACATACAAAGGTCAAGCATCCCGCGAGAACCATTGTCAAATTCAACAATAACATATGCGTTGTCAATTATGTCTGGGACCTAAACAATAAAAGAGACAAAGTGTGTAAGGAATAATATCGCGAGTAGTGACCCATAGTGTATAAGAATGCAAGTGTTTCTGTTTCGTAACTTTCATATAGTCCTCTTCTTGGAATATATAAATTTGACAAGCGCAGGCATGACAGTGGTCTTTCAGCATGAGACTGGGTTGAAATTCTATACCCTAACTAGTAATTTATTATTTCCAGTGCATATGAAAAGTTTTGTCATTAGTTTTTACTTTTTAGCAATACTGAATGAGTTTTGGATGACTAAAAGCATACTTGCTTTGATTTTCTTTGTACATCTTTTTAAATCTGCAAAGATTCTAACTCTCAAAACAGAAACTAATGGTTGAAATTGTGTTTGGCCTTAAAGTCAGCAACAAATTTGAAATCTCGGTCAAAGTGAAATTACCTTTCCATCGTATATTTCATCTTTGTGGTTAACATCAATGGCTCCAGAAGCCATGACACGAACTGGATTGGCACCAGCAAACAGCCTCATCAGATCAAAGAAGTGGCAGCACTTCTCTACCAAAGTCCCCCCAGAGTTAATGTTGAACCGGTTCCAATTGTTGACCTATTACAGGCATGATTCAATAAGATCAACTACAACAACATAAATAATGAAGCTTTTTAAGAAAGATATAATGGAACTTCAGTTGCAGAACATACCTTAACCAAGAAAGGAAACCGGTGTTCGCGGATTGCCACCATTTTGACCTGTCCAAGACTTCCACCCTTTACTATTTCTATCAGTTTAGCAACAGGTGGCATGTATCTATACTCCAGTCCAACTTGTACCAGCATATCCTGCCTCTTTCTAGCAGCATTCACGACCTATAGTTCCAGATACACTATATGATTCAGATCAATCGCTTATTTGGAAAAATAAATAAATAACTTCCCCTTCAAAAAAAAGAAAAAGCCAAAGATGTTGACGAATACAACATGAACGAATGTGCTGTAGAAGGACCACATAAAGATAAAACTTTAGTAACATATTCTGTGCACCTGTGTGATAAGGCATTAACGTAACATCTGTGTAAATTTACAAATATGTCTGTCTGAGTGTCATTTGTGCTGAATGTTAAAATGAAAACAAACGATACAATGTTCATACTTCAAGGGATGCTTGCATCAGGTTGGACACCAACTCACAGCAAAAAAAAAAAAACAAAAAAACAAAAAGCAATCCATTTCTGTATACATTATCTTGAGATGTCTATACCACTACGGAACTAGAGATCTGCAAGAATGTGGAACGCTAGGAATCCCTGCAAACGTTCTCAGCTGATTTGTGTTTCAGTACAACTTTACCACATTCATTCCCTGCACTATAACCCTTTAGTTAACCAAGCCAAACTCAAAAGTTCACTGTACCACAATTTAGTCCGGAAACAAAAAGAAACAAAGACAATACCAAAATATTTTATTCCAACCAATTCAATTTATCAAAGAATATCATTAAAATGATCATGTTCAAAGCGTTATTTGAAATCAAGTGATAATGAAATGCAAGCATAATTAACAAAACTTCTGATCAACCGACCTCTTTGCAGTGAGCAACCGTGGTACACAATGGCTTCTCCACTAATACATGATGGGGTTTACGGTGGTTGATGATATCCATCAAAATTTGATAATGGGTCATGTTTGGAGTTGACACAACCACCACATCACAGAGCAAGCTGTCCAATAGCTCCCTGTGTCCTGAAAAAACCTTCAAAACACCAAACCTTTTTTCTGAGATACTACTTGATCAAATATATCACAACTTTTTTCATAATCCGACGTTCTAAACTATTGCCGGAGGGGGATTCGAACTTGGGTGCAAGGGCCACACTGCCGTGGCTGCCAACTGGCCGAACCCACATTTCCTTGCCCATCGGAACTTAAACATTCTAAAACTGTACGTGATTAGCAGTAAGATGAAAAATTATATGCTGGGAAAACATCATTTAAATAGTTAAACTAAAAAATCTTGCATAGCCTTAAGTTAAAACATAATTTATACTAAAAAAAACTTGGTCTTGCTCCAAACCCATTATTCATTAATTCATAACTTCCAAACTCTTAAGAAATAAAGCATCACAGAGTTCAATTGCAGTAATGTTTGTGGAGGTGAAATAAAGCATATACCTTGATGGGCCAATTAAAAGAGTGTGCCAAGTCAAGGGCAAGCTTCTGGGAAGGAAGATGGGGGTCGGCTATGGCGACCACGGCCACGCCTTCGGAGCGAAGGTGGTACAAATTGATGAGGTGCTCTCTGCCCATCATGCCCACCCCTACAATCCCATACTTGACTGTATTCGAAGCAGCCATCACTAACATTTTTGGAGCTTTGCAGCCTCTCACTCACCGGGAGATATAACACAACATACTCTGATGAAATGAAAAAAAAAAAAAAAAAAAAACTCAAGTAAATATTGGAGTCCAATAGCATTGCAATTTATTTTTTCACCTGTAAATGAAGATGATTTAACTTTCATAAATAGAGAGTTTATTACAAATTTGGGCTTTATTACGTGACTTAGCCTAAATTTGTTAAATACATTATTAATAGTAAATAAACATATTAATTAATATTTAATTAATGATTCAATTATCAATCATCACTTTGTATGATTTACAGAGAATAAAATTCTCTTTCCTTCTATTATCATCATTTTTCCTCTCCTACTCTCACATTTGCTTTTTATCTTATTATTTTTATAAAAAAAAATCAATATAAAATGTTAACGTTACTTAATCATAACCGTTCAAATAAGAGAGGAGGAAAATGGGAGAGAGATGAGAAGAGTAAAGAATCCTCTTTTGATTTACAAATTATAAGCTAAATAGAGGATCTGCTTAACATTACTCACAAAAAATTATAAGGAAAACTAATGAAAATGGCTGAAAAACTTTGAGTTTTAACCAAAATGACAAAATAGTGTTGAAAGTGAATGGTACAAAAGTGACTTTTTAGAGTAAAAATATCTTTAGCATAAAAAATGAACAGTACCAAGAGCTTTTCATTAAAACTCCCTAAAATTATATCAGTTGATTTTATTTTGTGTCTACTATTAAGTCTGTATGAGGAGAAGTGCTTTGGATCCAGAGAATAGGGATGAAAGATTTGAATTCAAAATTTTTTGCAGCCATGAAATTTTTTTTTTTTTTTTTTTTATATTTTGCGACTAATATACTTGTCACAAGGCTAAATGTATTCGGAAGTTTTTGGGTATGCCTTGTCATGTCAGAAACTTGTTTTACTTTAACATTCAAGTTTGATTGCTTGCTAATCTGAAGGTTCATAATAAGGTGATCAATCAGTCATTGGTGCATTTTATTCCACTTTATTTGTTGGTATATTTGGAGATGGAGAAATTGACAAATTTTGTTAGGCTATGGGATCCTAAGGTTATTATGGTAAGGGTTGCTTTTGAATGGGTGAAGCCTTCTAAGAGTGGATGACGCAAGCTTAATGTTAATGGTTCAAGAATAATGACTTTTGGACATATTGGGAGTGGAGGGGTTCATGGAGATCAATGTAATGATTGGTAGGGGAATTTTCTGATAATTTAGGACATGAATAAGTTATAACGTCATCGAGATCTCTTGTTTAATAATATAAAAACATGTGAAGAAAAACTTAATTTTCACGTTGTGATATTTGCATGACTCACGAGAGATGCCACATTAACATACACGTATGTTAGAAGTCCCCAATTGATATAAGATACCAAAGAGATTTTCGCTTTTATATATTTTAAAATTAAAATGAAATAAGAAAGTAAAGAGAAAAACAGGTTCGCTTCATGAACTTTGGATTTTGTTCCACTTCACTCCTTAAATTTTCAATTTAAGTCCCTATAAACTTTTAATCTGTGCCAATATCTACCGAACTTGCAATATTCCGCTAAATTCATCACGTGCAATGCACATACCAACTTTAAGGCCCTATATGATAAGTCAACAACAAATTCAAAGGTTATAGTCTACAAAATGGACGAAAATACCCTCAATTAACAAAATAATTGACAAACTTCGAGGAGGACATTGATACTACAAAATAGGTGGATTCGTAACGCCACATTATAGCACGTAAAATATTAATACCATGTTGCAAATGATTTATTGCACTAAAAAATTTCTGGCAAGACTAAAAATTAGTTGGGTAGCATCACCATCTTATTGTCTATTTTTAACGTTACTTTCGCTCTGTGTAAATATAAATTAGGCTGGTTGGTCAATGTAGCGATACCGTCCTGGATTTCTTTAATAACAAACATCACTTTTAGTTCTGTAAGAAAATTTTATTTACCAACACTATAAGGCATTTGCTTGTATACAAAGGACTTCTACTCGTAACCACCTTTCTTAGAATTTAGAAATGCTTTTACTATAAACATGTCAGTTTAATTGAAAATCCAAGTGTTCTTGGGAGAATAATTGGAAGTCTCCCTAAAGAAGGTGATTTTTCCCAAAAGTGCTTCCACCACCCATTAACACTTAGGTTTTTCTTCCAAACGTAAACATCAAACATAACATTCTATTATTGATATGAGACATCATAGTAATGTTGTACTGATACTATAGAAGCTGCTTTCCCCAAAAGGGCCAAATCATCTGTCGACGGATACACATGTAAATAGAAAATTATTGGGACTTGGGTCACTGTAGAATGGTTGCTGTGATGACTGCTAGTATGTTGAGATGAATTTGGGGAAGACGAGGGGAGCGACCATAATCAGCTAACACCGAGTGAAGGTTTGGGATTAGATAACAACACTTAAGAGGCGTTAAGTCTATGAGAGCAACTCAAATGCGGATTCGACGCCACGTCAATAGTACATTGTTATGTCGAGAAAAGTATGCGCACGATAATGCATTACTGGGCAACGGAAACCATGTGGCCCATTTCATGTAATTCTTTCTCGAAGTCTTGCAAGTGCTAGCTATACCGAACATATTAGGGTTTGTTTGAAAGTATTTTTAAATGACTGAAAATGCTTTTAGAGAAAATGTTATTAGATTTCAAAAACACTTGAAATGCTTTCTACAAAAAGCACCAATTATGTGTTTCTTGCATAAAACTCTTGAAAGTGTTTTTCCTGAACTCGCTTGCATTTTTATTAAGAATTGATATCAAAGACATTTTCACCGAAGACACTTTCAACCATGATAAAAGCACTTCTAAACGAGTCACTTAGTCTTGTCCTATGGGTGTAACAAACGGAGCCTTGGGTGCAAATGGAATCCATCTCGGTTATAGAATCGCAGGCAAACCCCTAAACCCCTGCCACCGTTACCTTCCCTGGAGCTCTGAGCTTCTGAGGTTTAGGCCTCTATCTGATTCTAATTTTACAGAGATGAAATTTAGGGTTTCACATGGAATCCCTATGTTCTCTCACTCCTCATACCTCAGGTACCTCCACAACCAGCGTCGCTGCCTCGGTTCCCTTCTCAAGAAACTCCATAAAACCACTCAAAAAGCTCGCACGGTTCTAACGGCGGAGGCGGCCGTTGTAAAGGTCAGTGTTTCACTTCCAGCATTTCACCCTGTTCGGTTACTGAGAAAATAAATCGAGCAAAAAGAAAGTCTGAAACCTTAAATATGGCGGAATTAAGTTAACCCTTCCAATCTGTTTTTCCTTGTATGCTAGCATACAAATAGAACGTAAAGAATTGGGATTTCTTGAATTAGTTGCTCATCGTTGTGCGTGGTGATTGGCACTATCGGTTTCGAATTTATATCAGTTAAAACACCCTGATTTCCAAAATTAGAACTACATAAACCGTAATAGTTGAAAAATTATATCAGACCAATTAGAACTGCATAAACGTAGCATGTAAAGAAATATCAACACATTGCAATTTGCTACCCAAGACTAATTAAACTGTCAATTCATATAAGCACACGTCTTACAGCAAAAATGAATAAAAACACAACAAAATAGACAATTTCGACAACCATAGTATGCATGCTTTGCACAAGGACCATTCTAATTTCTAACTTGTTCAAATAAACACTTCAACCACTTGGACCAAAACCAAGAACATGAAAGCGAATCGAGAACTAGACCAGAATTGCTGGATGCGACTACCACTATGAAAATTTCATCTCAATAAGTCGATACAACTAGGTACTAGTACAAATAGCATACTCAATCAGTACACCAAAGGATTAAACCGAAACCAAAGAACATTACCACAAGCAAGTGTAGTGCGTAAGCATAGTACCACACTCGCCGTCTTTATGCTCAACTCAACTAGCAATTCATGCTAAGCTCCAAATCGGGGTCATCAACAAGCAAATGTATATCTCTGTTAGCTCCAAGTACGCCATGTCTTTTCTTAGTCTCTTTCAAAGTCTAGGAGGTCTTCCTCTACCCATTTCGCCCTGAGCCTTCGTCTCATAGTCACATCTTCTAACTGAAGCATCTGCAGGTCTTCGGTTCACTTGTCCAAACCATCCTAACCAATTTTCCTTCATCTTATCTTCAATTGCGGCCACTCCTTTTATCTCAGATATCGTCGTTCTTAATTCTACCCTTTCTCGTGTACCCACTTTACCTCAGTTATCCTCATTCCTCATAAATCACACTACTTAACAAAAAGTCACTTAAACATTGAGCACTACAAACTGGAATACAATAAGAACCTCCAAAATAATACATACCAGAATACAATTAGAAACTCCAAAAGCATGGCCTGCCTTATACAATCGTACACATGGAAAACAAATTTCCGATTGTAAATTGCATTTCACATACTGGAACAAATTCAGATCTAACTATGCAGCTCAAAACAAAAACATAACCGATAAATTTTCTATACAACCTTATAATATTGGCTAATTACTCAAAGGAATCACGAACATGGGCAACTATATTATAATTGACAAGCATCAATTCTAGCGGAATAATGAAATCAAGAGGTACAAAAACAGAATCGAATCACATGCATATATCATTGTACAAAATCTAGTTCAAAGAACCCATATAACAGATTTGAAGTTTGAATGAATGTACATTTGTAAATGACGGATCCATCAATGCCTCTCAGCTTTTCAATTTCTGAACACGAAAAATCGAATCCGAAATCCTTGTAATTTCAATAGTCTCTCTCTATATCAAAACTTTGTTCCTGAAATACCAACAGATATTCCCAAATCAGATTCAGAAACAATTCTTTAACTTGAACTATGCAAAAACTTAAGAAACTGGGGCAATTTTACAAATTTGGAAAATTAAGGTGGTGGGAATGATGAAATCGAAAAATATGAAAAAGGCACACCTACGTCTGTTTAGAGTACGAAGAGGAAGTGGGGACGCGCTTGTTACGGAACATCATGTAACCGACGGGTAAGACTACTCCGATCATCATGATCGCCGCTCCGATTACGTATCTCAGCGGGCTCGGCGGTTCCACCTCTATCAATCCCCTGAACTGCACCGCACACGATTAAACCCCCATTATTCACAATTTTCATAAACAAATAGATACAGATCTGGATCCATAACTATGGAGAGAGACAGAGAGAGAGAGTTACAGGCATTGTTGGGGCTCTGAAGGTTGAGAGAGCGAGAGGCCGTCCGGAGGTGACGGAGAAGGCGGCGGGGGATCGTTTAGTTTGACGACGGAGGGAGGAAAAGAGTCGGCGTTGAGCCCTTGGGTCGGGAGTCAATGGCTCATCACAAAGTTGTTAACTCAAGTCGCGACGTCGCAATGTTGTCGTCTTTGTTTTGGGGAGCGTTTCGATTAAACCTTTAGCTAAGTGGCCCAATAACAGCCCAAGTTAGTTATTTCCATGGACAATCTCGTGACCATCGACGTTTTATTTTTAGAGGTCATAAGTACAGATTTTATTGATGGTCACCTAATACTATGGCATTCATTTTTTCTTGTAAGTGAGAATCTTATCAAAAAAAAATAAGAAAACTCCGAACATTTATGACTTTGGATTTTTTAGTATGTCTTGGAGTGTTCTATTAACTAGTATATTTCAAGAATTTAATGATCAAGATTGAACGACTAAATTACCACAATGAATTCCCTCTTCATCATTTTGATCCACTAATGTTGTAGTTGTGTATTAATTAAAAGTAACTATATTTGTGATCAACTAAGCTAAAAACCATGCGAGAGTGCGAAGTCTCAAGATGCATTGACCAAGAAGCACCTCTAAAATGAAGGGTCTTGCCGCTTAACATCTTTCAAACACACAAAAGAGTTTCACAACGCCCCTAGAACCTCCCAACCCCCCTAGGCACAAAGTTTCATTGTAACCAAGAGAAATACTAAAGAGACTCTCAAAGTGAGACTCTCCATAGATTCTCTATCACATCATAATTTAACGTTAGTTCTCGTGCCAACATTATAAAGAGAAAATTGTAACAATAGTCCCTCAACTTTAACCCAATTGGAGCAATGGTCATTCAACTAAAAATTCATGACCATTGGTCCCTTAACTCATCAAAACATGTAGCTATAGTCTTTTTTGTCAACTCCATTAAAACTTCCATCAAAATGAATTACGTGCCATGCACGTGAGGTTAGAATCAAAGGAAAATGTGGAAACTAAATGAAAAAATTGTAGAAATGCTTCCTCAACTTTAACCCAATTAGAGAAATGGTCCCTCGATTTTAACCGAATTGGAGCAACGGTCCCTGAACTTTAACCCAATTGGAGCGATGGTGCCTCAACTTTAACCTAATTGTAGCAATAGTTATTCCAACACGACGAAAGTTATGACGGAGTTGACGAAAATGACCATAGCTGCACGTTTTAAGGAGTTAAGGGACTATTGGCCATGGATTTTTAGTTAAGGGACCATTACTCCAATTGGGTTGAGAGACCATTGCTACAATTTCCTCTATTATAAAATATTGTGCCAAAAATATGATGTGGCAGAGTGTTCATGGATAAAAGCCATCTTTCTTTGATAATTGAATCTGCACCTTAGCCTGAGAAATTTTCTCAACCCAGATTCAAGTACTTTCACAGGGAATCTGACCCGGATTATGAAATTACTAGGACAATGGAAGTTGTTTGGAAATTATACATCTTGAGTTTGTTGTGCAAGAAAAGAATCTGTGTGTACAAAATGTGAACCATAAAGGAGATTGTTGGCCATGGTAGGACAATAAGTGAGTGGTTTGTATGACGATATTAGGTGATTGGTAATTGAATAATTGAATTACGTTGGTTATGGTTATGAACCAATTTTATATGTGGAAATTGCAATTGCGTTGTGTAGCTAAGAAGAATTTGTTGATTTTGGCACATTTGAGCTTTAATATATTGGACAATGAGCTATGGTGGAACTCGACTATTTGGCTTATGAAAGTTCGACACTCTGATGTCTCAACAGAAATATTAGAAGAAGAAAATAGAAACTAATTGATGCTTAGAAAGATGTTCGGCATCATCCATATGTTTAGTTGTTCGTACACAAATTAGAACTGTTTTAGGGGTTAAAGAATGGTATTTGCTGTCGACAAAGTTCACCTTCTTAAATTTCACTTATTGGAAGTTCTGAAATTTACTTCAATGCATTAACCTTGACTGTACAAGAATGTAGGTATATACAATTACAAGGATCCCTACTACATAGCTAATTGGTACAAAGTAAGTAAGTAATCAACCCATGATATTCTCCCTTATCAGCATTGATTGAAGGCTAACGAGGGAAAGTATCATAAATGAATCATTGACTTTCTCAACACTCCCCCTCAAGTTGGAAAGTGAATATTAAAAATGCCTAACTTGCCTAATAGAGAATTAAAGCGTTCATTCCCCAAAGCTTTGGTAAAAATATCAGCAAGCTGCGACATGGATGGAAAAAAACATGTGATGACTTTTCCTTCCATGATTTTAACCCGGACAAAATGACAATCAATCTCAATATGTTTAGTAACATGCTGCTGCCATGGATCATGAAATAGATTTTGTAGCCAAGCCAACTTGTAACATGTTGCTGCCATGGATCAATATTTTGCTTCGGCAGAGTACAAAGAGAGTGTCTTTTGACGTTTGCTTTTCCATGAAATAAGAGAATCTCCAAGGAAAACACAATAACCAGTGGTTGGGGGACCCGCCTAATCCAAGTCACAATATGCTTTCAACTTCAAATTATTTTCTAAAGAAAACATTATACCTTGTCCGGGTGTCCCTTTTAAGTACCTCAAAATGCGCAATGCAGCCTCATAGTGTGGCTTCCGAGGTGCTAGCATGAATCTACTCAACAAGTGGACCGAGTACGTGATATCTGGCCAGGTAATATTGAGATAAATTAGACAACCAATCAATATCCTATATTTAGCAAAATCATTGAGAATTTTGCCCTCATTAAGAAGCAATTTGAGATTTTGCTCCATAGGGAAGGTGCTAGGTCGTGATCCCAGAAAACCCACATCATCGAGAATATCCAACAAGTATTTCCTTTGTGAAATAAAAATTTCTTTCTTTGAAAGTGCCACTTTAATGCCCAAAAAAGTATTTTAAATTACCAAGATCTTTGATACGGAGCTTGATATTTAAAAAACGTTTTAGGTATTAATTGCAGTTGAATCATTTCCTGTAATCAAAATGTCGTCAATGTAAATAAGAAGTGCAGTAAATGACTTGCCTTCACATTTAGTGAAAATTGAATAATCTACTTTTGATTGAACATAACTAGCAGACCAAATGGCTTGCGAAAACTTGAAAAACCATTGTTGGTAGGCTTGCTTCAAACCATAAAGCGATTTATTAAGGCGACATACCAAATTATCCCCGTGTCAACGAAGATTAGGAGGTGAGACCATGTATATTTCCTCCATAAGATCACTATGAAGAATGGTATTATGAACATCCAACTAATGTAAGGACCAAGAAAAGTTGGCAACAAAAGCAAGAAGGTAATGGAATGTGACCAATTGGGTAGTGAAAGGAAAGGTATTATGGTAATCAATACCTTCTAGCTGAGTGTACCCCTTAACAACCAAATGAGCTTTGTAACACTCAATACTGCTATTAGATTTGTACTTGACTTTGTAAACCCATTTACAACCAATGAGTATCTTACCATGGGGCAAAGTAGGAATATTTCTAGTGTTGTTAGCCTCGAGAGCTTGGATTTAGTCATCCATGGCTTGACGCCATTTAGGATTGTTGCACGCCTCTGTGTAAGTGGTTGGCTCCAAAATGGTAAGAGCACTAGCAAGAAAGGCAAAATAGAGTGGCGACAATCCTTGATAGGATAAAAAATTTGAAAATGGATACCTGGTACTCAAAGTGGCAAACGAGGGCATGGCGGAAGGTGATGTAAGAGAATGACAAACATAGTCGTTGAGCTTCGCAAAGTGGAGCTATAAGGCGACCAGATTGCCGTAAAGGGACAGCAGCGGAAGCAAGAGCAGGCTGTGTGATAGGAGCAGACTGCTCAATAGGTGGCTACATTATAACAACATGCTGCTTATTAGGTGGCTGTGTAGAAAGCTGATTATCATCAGAAGGATGACCATTAGGAGCATGAGGTGTCTCGGCTATTTGTGGGGCATTATTGGTGTCAGGTGGTTTATAGAATGGTGATGAAGGTTCAATGCATGCACTAAACACAAGTGTATGGTGGTTGTTGTATGAGTATTTAATTCCTTTTGGCCATGGTAAGGAAATACATCCTCGTGGAAAACAACATCTTGAATCGTAAAAATATTTTTGGATTAAAGATCATATAATTTGTATGCTTTTCGTCCAAAAGGGTACCCAATAAAATTGCACTTTTTAGCTCTAACATCAAATTTATGTTTGAGATTAATGTTTATGGCATAAGCCAAACAACCAAAGTACGGAGATGTGTTTAAGAGGGTGAATGGCCAAATAATTTTTCATAAGGTTGTGAGGCCGGACAAGAGAGGTGTAGGGATGTGATTAATTAGGTAAACCGCAGTTAGAATGCACTCGTCTAAAAACGTAGATGTAAATTTGATTAAAATTATAAAGCTCGAGCTATTTGAGGGATATGTCTATGTTTGCGTTCCACAACCCCACTTTGTTGTGGTGTATAAACACATGATCTTTGAAAAACCACCCCCTAAGTACGAAAAAAATCAGACAAAGAAACAAACTCGCCCCCATTATTTGTGCATATAGTTTTGATTTTAGGATGGAATTGTGTTTCAGCATATGCCAAAAAAAAAAAAAAAAAAAAAAAGACTTAATCAAATTTTGAGTATTAGACTTATTCAGCATCAAATAAACTCATGTACAATGAGAATAATCATCAATGATTGTAAGAAAATAATGAGCCCTAGAGTGAGATGTTAATTTATGAGGCCCCTAAATATCATAATAGTTCAAAAACATGCTTAGTATTAATAGATCTTAATCCAAGACATTCGAGTTTGTTTTGCCAATGGGCAAACTTCACAAGGTTTAATGGAAGAAAGGGAAATTTTTGGAAAAGTCTTAGCTAATAAGTGAAGCTGTAATGCTGAGGGATGGCCAAGACGACGATGCCAAATAACTAAGAACACCTTGGACACCAGAAGTGGTGGAGGTAAGCGTCTTTTTGGATCCACCAGTTAGTACAACCCATTACATTATTGCCCCTAACCAATCATTGTCCTTGTGACCTCGTCTCCAGGTCCTGTAAGATACAAAAATCGGGATAAAAAGTTATTGAGTAGTGAAATGATCGAGTGAGATAGCTCACTGAAATCAAATTAACCAAGAATGAAGCAATTCCAAGAACATTATGTAGTTAAGCCAACGGAATTAATAAGGACTTTGGTTCCATCAGG